ATCCAGGCCAGCCTTCCAGGGGAGAGAGCAGGGGAGATGGGAGAGTGGATCTGGAAAGGCCAGTGAAAGGTGCAAGATCGCACAGGGCTTGTGGTGAGAGTTGGGACCCATTAAACATTCCAAATTGGGAGTTGCTATTTATAGAAAAATAAATAGCTCCCTTTGGAGAGAGATACCCACTTTCCTGCAGCACTCCAATGCAAGTACTGCCTGCAAGGGAAAATATTAGCTATCATTTATGATGAACATTTTACTAAAACAGGAGCTGACAAACATTTTTTAACAAGAAAAATTTTAATTACATGTGTATATATGGGAATCCCGCACACACGAGAGTCAAAAATCCAAAATACATGAGAGGTTCCGACAAATATTTTCTTTTAAAAAATATGTTTATTGATTTCAGAGAGGAAGGGAGAGGGAAAGCTAGAAACATCATTGATGAAAGAGAATCATTGATCAGCTGTCTCCTGAACACCTCCCACTGGGGATTGAGCCTGCAACCCGGGCCTGTGGTCTGACCAGGAACTGAACTGTAACCTCTTGGTTCATACGTCAATGCCCAACCACTGAGCTATGATGACTGGGAAACAAATACTTTGTTTTCTTTAAAAAATATATTTTTATTGATTTCAGAGAGGAAGGAAGAGGGAGAGATAGAAACATCAATGATGATAGGGAATCAATGATTGGCTGCACTGGGGATCGAGCCCACAACCCAGGCATGTGCCCTTGACTGGAATCGAACTTGGGACCCTTCATTTTGCAGGCTGACGCTCTATCCACCAAGCCAAACTGGCTATAGGGCAACAAATATTTTCTTGATGTGATAAATCTCAAACCAGCATCACACTTACTGGTGTAAGGCCAGAAAGCATGCCTGTTAAAGTCAGACATAAAGGAAGGATTAAAAAAAAAAAAAAATATATATATATATATATATATTAATTTCACAGAGGAAGGGAGAGGAAAAGACAGAAATATTAATGATGAGAATCACTGATTGGCTGCCTTCTGCACTCCCTCCCCCCACAGGGGATCAAGCTCACAATCTGGGATGTGCCCTGACCCAGAATCGAATCGTGAACTCCTGGTTCTTAGGTTGCTGCTCAACTGCGGAGCCAAGCTAATCAGGCTGGAAGGGTTTTTATTTTGTTTTATATTTTATTGATTTTTTTACAGAGAGGAAGGGAGAGAGATAGAGAGCTAGAAACGTTGATGAGAGAGATACATCGACCAGCTGCCTCTTGCACACCCCCTACCAGGGATGTGCCCGCAACCAATGTACAATGCCCCTGACCGGAATCGAACCTGGGACCTTTCAGTCCGCAGGCCAATGCTCTACCACTGAGCCAAACCGGTTTCGGCTGGAAGGACTTTTTAAAATTCTTTATTTAAAATATTACATGAGTCTCCTCCCCCCCCCCCCCACAACTGACCTCTCCCCAGCCATCCCCTCCCACAAGCCCTCAGCCCCCTACTGTTTGTGTCCATTGGTTTTGCTCATATGCATGCATGCAAATACTTTTGTTGATCTCTTACCCCCTCAACCCCCCCTCCCCCGGCCTTCCCTCATAGGTTGTACAGTCTGTTTGATGCTTCTATGGAAGGATGTTTATTTTTTATTGATTTTTTACAGAGCGGAAGGGAGTGGGATAGAGAGTTAGAAACATCAATGAGAGAGAAACATTGATTAGCTGCCTCATGCACACTCCCTACTGGGCATGTGTCCCCAACCAAGGTACACGCCCTTGACTGGAATCGAACCTGGGTCCCTTGAGTCCGCAGGCCAATGCTCCATTTACTGAGCCAAACCGGTCAGGGCAGAAAGATGTTTTTTATCTCCACTTTCACTTCACATTTTTCTGGAAGTATTTACCAAAGCTTATATATATATATATATATATATATATATATATATATATATATATTTCAGGAAGAAATGAATTTCTGGCAGATGACATTATTGTATACCTGGAAAATCCAAGAGAAAAACCTGAAAAACCAACCCCTCCTATATTGTATTTTTTCTAATCATTTATATTTACTTATCTTTTAGTAGTCACAGGCTCTCAGTTGCCTAAAGCAGGGGTTGAGGTTCTATTAAAGACTCAAGTAGAAATCAGTATTGTTAGAAGTTCAAAGAAGTTAAGAATCATTCTACTACTACATCTTAACTCTTCATTATTATGTGAATCTGAAAATCATTGGTTTTTGGGAAAAGTACATCTCAGTGGCCAGGTACAAAGAATAAATAGTAAGGCCTCACTTCTTCCTCATTCCTTAATCCCCTCCCTAGAGGAAATAATTGTTTTCTGTCTCTTGTGATTCTTTTTTTTTTAAATAGAGATTCTTTTTTAAATATATTTTTTATTGATTTTGTACAGAGAGGAAGGGAGAGAGATAGAGTTAGAAACATCGATGAGAGAGTCATCGATCAGCTGCCTCTTGCACACCCCCTCCTGGGGATATGCCCACAACCAAGGTACATGCCCTTGACCGGAATCGAACCCGGGACCCTTCTGTCCCCAAGCCGACGCTCTATCCATTGAGCCAAACCGGTTTCGGCTCTCTTGTGATTCTTCAAGAGATAGTCTGTACTTTACAAGTGTGTATGCATGTGCACAAAAAGGTAATTTCTTTTTTTTTTCTTAAATAAATTTTTATTGTTCATATTATTACAAATGTTTCCTTCCCCCCCCCCCTTCCCACCCCACCCTCTGCCCTTTCCCCACTCCCCATTGTCCTCATCCATAGGTGCACAGTTTATGTTCAGTCTCTTCCCACATCCCCCTCTCCCCTTTTCCCCAAGAATCATCAGTTCACTCCCCTTCCATACCTCTGATTCTATTATATTCAACAGTTAATATTGTTCCTCAGATTTTTTTTTAATTTCCTTGGTTTTTAGATTCACTTGTTGATAGTTACGTATTTGTTGTTCATAATTTTTATCTTTATTTACTTTCTCTTCTGAAAGAACCCCCTTCAGCAATTCATATAATTCTGGTTTGGTGGTGATGAATTCCTTTTTGCTTTTTTTTATTAGTGAAGCTCTTTATCTGACCTTCGAATCTGAGTGATAGCTTTGCTGGATAGATTATCTTTGGCTGTAGGTTCTTACTATTCATCACCTTGAATATTTCTTGTGATTCCCGTCTGGCCTGCATGGTTTCTGTTGAGAAATCAGCTGACAATCGTATAGATGCTCCTTTATAGGTGACTATCTGCTTAGCTCTTGCTGCTTTTAATATTCTCTCTTTGTCTTTTGCTCTTGGAATCTTAATTATGATTTGTCTTGGTGTGGTCCTTTTTGGATTCCTTTTATTTGGAGTTCTGTGTGCTTCCTGGACTTGTAAATCCAATTCTTTCACCAGGTGGGGGAAGTTTTCTGTCACTATTTCTTTCAGTATGTTTTCAATATCTTGCTCTCTCTCATCTTCTGGGATCTCCATAATTCTGATGTTGGATCGTTTGAAGTTGTCCCAGAGGTTTCTTACATCATCTTCAATTTTCTGGATTCTCTTGCCTTCTAGCTTCTGCAGAGGAATGTCTTCTGGCTCTTTATGTTCCAGATCTTTGACTTGATTCTTGCGATCTTCTATTCTGTTTTTAGGACTCTGTATAATATTTTTTATTTCAGACAATGTATTCTTTATTTCTTGTTGATCCCTTTTCATATCCTCATAAGTCTCATTTATTTTATCGGCCTTTTCTAGGAAACTCTTGAAAAACCTTATAAGTGTGGTTTTGAACTCTATATCCAGTCGCTTTTTGTCCTCCATTTCTTTCGTTTGTGATCTATTTGGTTTAGGCTTTTTCGCAGGCAGCTTTCCTGATGGGGCGGGGTTTCAGGGTGGAGCCTACAGCTTTGGCTTTCGTGAGCCCCGCCCTATGCGACTCCTGAGACTCAGGGTCCTTCAGTGCTCCTTGCAAGCGCCTCTGAGAGAAAGGCGCCCTCGATTTTCGCCTGCTGCCAAACAGTCTATGCTCTCCCCCAATGGGCCCAAAACTGGGGTTCAGTTCAGTTGGAAGTGGAGTTGGAGGTGGCGTTCAGAGAAGACTGGAGCCCGTCTCCTTCCCACCAGGGCAATCCCGCGGTACAGCCGACCGTCCCTTCTCTGCGCAGCGCCGCCGGGACCTCCTTTCGCCTCTTCCCCAGGGTTCCGCCTTTCAGCCCAGCTCCCTCTGTGTGAGCCTGGGTCCCCGGGGTTTGGCCTAGAACTGGGGTTCAGAGCAGTCGGGGGCCCAGCACAGTCGGAGTTTTATTTCCTTCACGCTAGGGAACGCCAGCCAGGCAGTCAGCCTCCCTCCTCTCTGGCTCCGTCCTCTCCGCGCGCCGCGTGTCTCCGTACCTTGGACTTTTACAGCTCCTCCGTTCTTCCTTCTGGTTTCCTCCTTGCTTCTTGTTGTAGAATTTCCATTCAGTCGACTTTTCTGTAGTTCTGGGTAATGTCCATTTTATATTTTAGTTGTATTTTATTGAAATTGTTGCATGCGGCTGCGGCTAGTTGCCTACCTGAGCAGCCATCTTGGATTCTCTCAAAAAGGTAATTTCTTGAGTTTCTTTTTCTAGACAAAAGAAAATGAAGAGGACTAGAAGTATCAGATTTAATAATGTGGTAGATGTGTATAAAGAATTTCCAATACCATTGATTGATAAAGAAGACATTGATGCGATTGAACCAGCAATGGATAATGAAGACAGCGATGTCACTGAACCAGCAAAGGTTGAAGAACACACTGAAGAGACTGAAGAAGCAATGGGTAAAGAAGAGAGCAATGTGACTGAACCAGCAATGGATGAACACACAGATGAGACTGAAGAAGCAATGGATAAAGAAGAGAGCGATGTGACTGAACCAGCAATGGATGAAGAAGTCAGCGATGTCACTGAACCAGCAATGGAAACAGAGAGCAATGAGATTCAACCAGCAATGGAAATAGAGAGCAATGTAACCGAACCAGCAATGGATACAGACAGCAATGTGACTGAACCAGCAATGCATACAGATAGCTATGGGACTGAATCAGCAGCAATAGGCAGAGGCAGCAGTGTGACTGGACCAGCAGTAGTTATAGACAGCAATGTGCTTGAACCAGCAATAGATACAGAAGATGACCATGTGAATGATATAGCACTAGATTTAGCTGAGAATGTCATCGCTGCTGCTCTTAATATTGTGGAAGGTAGTGATCTTGTTTGGTTGCCTAAAGGACTGTCTTGTTATATAATGTCACACTACCAGACAACTAACAAATTCACATGTTTTTTTTTTGCAGAAGATGATGAATACACCATCAGAAACATTAACTGGCTCACACATGGTGAATTCACACCAGAAAAGTGCCGTAGACAAATCGAAGACTTCGTTACGGTAAGATAGTTGACCACTCCAGCTTCGTGTACAAAGGTGAAGAACAATAAAAAGCCTCCTCCTTTTAAAAAATATTTTAATTGATTTTTTTAGAGAGAGAGGGAGAGAGATATAGAAGCATTAACAAGAGAGAAACATCTATCGATAGGCTGACTCCTGCACTTCCCCTTCAACCCCACCACTGGGGGACAAGCCAACAACCTGGGCAGGCATCCTGATCAGGAATCAAAACTGAAAAAAGGCTCTTCTTTGATGAAAAGTTTAAATTTCAGAATCCTTAGGAGATGATATAAAAGGCAACTAAATGTCATCTGGATCCCAAAATTGACATGCACTAGTCTTTGGAGGTGAAAAGCACAATCGTATTTCCCTATGCTCCTGTCATCCTAACCTTAAATTTTCCTAGTAAAATCTGATATTCCCAATTAAGCAATTTTCCCATCTGGTACTCTAAATGGGGCCTACTTGTCTAAGGAGGGAGTTGCTTCTCTCAAACAAGAGTTCTCCAACATCAACTTTATTTTTATTTATTTGTTAATCCTCACCTGGGGATATTTTTTCCATTGATTTTTAGAGAGAGTGGAAGGGGGAGAGAGGGAGAGAGAAAGAAGGAGAGAGAGAGAGAGAGAGAGAGAGAGAGAGAGAGAGAGAGAGAGAGAGAGAGAGAGAGAGAGAGAGAGAGAGAGAGAGAGAGAGAGAGAAAGAGAGAGAAAGAGAAAGAGAGAGAAAGAGAGAGAGAGAGAAAGAGAGAGAGAGAGACATTAGTGTGAGAGAGACACATCAATTGGTTACCTCTCTCACATACCCTGATTCATACTGGGGGTTGGGGAAGGGTTGAACCTGCAACCCAGGTATGCCCTTGACCGCCCTTGATTGGGAATCAAACCTGCAACCCTGGCCAGGGCTCCAACACCACCTTTAGAATGCTCATATTAACAGAGGAATGTACATGGATCAAAAGTCTTTACTGTACCTTTGGAATATATTGCCTGTGAATTCCTTTTTCTCTTTCTTTTGTGCCTGGCTCTGACCCATTAATGTGGCTTAACCTGGCAGTTCTGGTGAAAAGGCCCTGGGTTGTTTTGCATAACAGGAGGGTGGATAAAGAAGAATGACTTGAAATTCTTACTCACGGTATTTCCTTGGAAAAGAGATCAGTTGAAATTGGTTGAGGCAAAACTCCTAGTCCTGGGAGAAGTTTTTTGCTATCTCTCTTCCTCTGTTCCTAAGCCCTAGACAACCTTGGTTAGGTGAGAATGAGGAAGGTCAGGGGTTTCTGGCTCCACACCTTTTGTTTATACACCAGTTGGCAGAAATCACCATTCCCATTAGAAGGGGTATCTAAAGCATAGTGAAGATGAATGATGCAAAAAAAAGTTACCCTTTGGCCTTCTTGCTCTGAAGCATATCTCCATTTGGGGTTGGGCAAAAGTTTTTGCCTGTTATACCCAAGATTTGTGAATCAGACTGGAATGGGGCACAAAACAAGCAAGAAAAAATTTCCCTACAAATCTCACTAGTTATCTACACGAATAAAAGAGAAATATGCAAATTGACCATCACTTTGTGACACCCACCAGCCAATCAGGAGTGAGTATGCAAATTAACCACAGCACTTCTGTGGAAACTGACAGCAGGGAGGGGGCAGCTCCCAGCATGGCCTGCTTGAGAGTCATCGCAGTGTGGAGCAGGCAAGCCCTTCAGAGAGCAGAGAACCACAGGAAGTGGACCTAAGCCATCAGTAGGACATCATCTGAGGGCTCCTGGATTGGAGATGATGCAGGTCAGGCTGAGGGATACTCCCCCCACCACCCCATGCACGACTTTTGTACACTGGGCCTCTAGTTCTGAATAAAAGGCAAAAGTAAGTCCTGATAATGGCCTACAGGGCCTGACATGATCTGAATTCTCTCCTCCTTCCCAACTTATTGCTTAGACTCCATCACCTACTACCTTCTCTCTTTTAACCTTCCTTACTCCCGCCACACTTGCTTCCTTGCTGTTCAACTGCCAGGCATTTCCCCACCTCAGAGCCTCTGCACTTGCTGTTCCCTCTGTCTGGAATAGTCTGCCCTGAGATCTATTCTCAGACATCATGCCTTACTTCTCTTCAGATCTTTGTTAAGATTCCATTTGCTCAATGAGGCCTTTCCTAGCCATCACATTTAAAATTATACCCACTCTCCTTCTTTGATTTATTTTTTCTACAGCATTTAGCTCTACTTAAGATATTATATTTTACTTATTTACCCTATTGCTTTTCTTCCACCATCAGGTCATATGGTCCATGAAGGCAGCGACTTTTGTTAATTTATGTTCCCAGCCTCTAGATGCCAGGCACATATAGGTGCTCTATAAATAAATGTTAATTACACGAACAAGTTTGTTCTCTCTATACCATTATTTTTCACAGATGAAGAGTTTACTTACTTTATAGGGCTTTTGTGCAGATAGAAACAATTAGAAAGTAGAAGGTGACTGAAAAGCTAAAAGCTCTATATAACTCATGATATCAAATCACTCTGTTCCCAGCCCCACTAACGCAGCAAGCCCTAGAAGTGAAGTCTACCATCTAAGTGCCAGACATTCCTGATGGAGAGCTTTCTCAAGCTTAGTTCAGATTTCTCAGAGTTCACCATATACCAAAAGATAGCAAATAAGGAGTTACCATTTCCTGAGCATTGCTATGAGCCAAGCACTGCTAAGCAATTCATGTACATTATCTCATTTAACACTCACAATAAATCTGAATGCAGGTACATTAGTGTACCCATTTTACATATGAGGAATCTTGAGGCTCAGAGAAGTTGGGCAATATGTCCAAAGTCTTTCTGTTTAAGCGTCAAAATGAAGTTTTGGTCATAGGTCTATCTGATGTAGCACTTTTTTTTCACCATAATAGGAAAAGGACTTTTGATGACAAAAAGATACTGCATAGTTTTATTATTAATGAAAAATGCATATCCAAAAGATTTTAAGGTATTGCAAGGTGGATAAGAATGATTAAAGCTGATGTCAGAAGGCTTGTGTGTTTGTAGGGAGGCAATATGTACGCTTCAACATTGACAATGGGCACAATAATTGGTTTATTCCCTTTAGGAACGTAATCTGGCAACATGAATAGACATGTAAGTTCTCTATAGAAGAAAAACTGGAAAATCTCCAATGCCTAACACACAGTTAAAGTTATTATTTTTATACATTTTATTTCATTTTAGAGAAAGGGAGGGAGAGGGAAACATCAATGGATGAGAGAATCATCTATCAGCTGTCTCCTGCACACCCCTACTGGGGATTGAGCCTGCAACCTGGACATGTGCCCTGAACAGGAATAGAACCATGACCTCCTGGTTCATAGGTCAACACTCAACCACTGAGCAAAACCAGTCGGGATAAAATTATTTTTATAAGAAAAATAAAGCATCATTATAAAAATCCCCAATGAGCAAAAAGCCACACACAAAGTAGAAAATGAAACTTACCCCTTTTCTCCCACTCCAATACCCATTCCTACTCTCTCAAAGGTCACTAACCATTGATAACAATTTTGTGCATATACTTCCAGTGCCTGTTGATTTTGAGTGTCTAATCATGTGTAATGGGCTAAGCTATCATGGTAGAGTAGCACAGTGAGAAATTGTTTCCTGGAAGTGGGTTTATGAAGCAATGTTCTGTAAACATTACAAAACACAAGGATAACACACACTCATTGGAGCTACATAAAAATCAGCTGCCTGCACTGTGATAAAAACGGGAAGAGATTGGCCTGATGGTGATAGTTGTATTTAACATGCCCAAGGCTGCCTTTGTTCACAAAAGGGGGGAAAGCACTATCACACCAAGTTGAGAAGAAAACAATATTAGATCTGAGGCATCTGATGGAGTAGAGAGAAAACTGAGCTGGGTGTTGGGGAGCCCTGAGCCCCCATCCCAGCTGTTGTGTTGGGCTGTCCTTCCCCATTTCTAGGCCCCAATATCTTCATCTGTAAAGTAAGGGACTTCATTAGATGATCTCTAAGGACCATTCCAATGCTACAAAATCTGTGCTTATGTGACAGATTAAACATTAGGGCTGAAAGAATATATCAAATACTATAGAAAGGCTGAAAAGGGGGCATGCTTCTATGGGCTTCATGGGATTGACTGTTGAACATTACAAGGAATGATCTCTGTAGGAAGGCACAGTCCTTCATCTCAAGAAATCGAGAGTCTGGTGCTCCTCTCTGGTTGAGTGAAACAGCCAATTGGGTAGAGACTTGGAATAAAGTAAGCTGAAGCAGAAGGCCAGCCTACTGCCATATATATATATATATATATATATATATATATATATATATATATATATGAAATCATTTTACCATTTCCTCCCACAGTCCCTCTGCACATCACATTTATTGTCAGACAATCCCACTTCCTTCCTTTTATGGATCTTCCTCTTAATTCAGGATCTTTTTTTTGATTTGGAAGTTTCCTGTGCCCTGAGAGCTAGCCCAAGGGGCTTAGGTTGAATTGAACTTGTTAAATACCTTTAGCATTCAAGGCCCCGTACTAAGAATCAGGGCTACATTATGACCCCTAGACCCTAGGTACTGGCAAGCTTTGTGCTTTGGTGGGGAAGCTTTTCCAAAGGTATAGGGATCTAAGGGATTTGGAAGATCCAATTGCCTGACTCATTCCCTTCCTGACTTTATTTTACATACTACCTATGGCTGCAATGATATGAGCTGATATTCAAAAACAGTTTTGGAAATCAGCCTCATTACTCTCTAGTCACACTTTAGGTCTCCCTGAGTAAAGTGAGCAGATCACATGTTCTAGTCACTTTTTTATTATTTTCCAATGAACAAAACTTGCCTCCCAACTTGCCTCCCAAGTAAGAGTCTAGAAGGAAGTGAGTGTGTACGTATAGGCAGTGTGTATGTACACACCAACATCTGAGCATGTGAATCTATGGTCCAAAGGCCCGTCTCAAATGATCTTTGCATTAGTAACTCATTTCATTTCAGCTCCACCTTTTCTCTCCTCCACTTATGGAGATAATGGGAACTTGACTAGTTTGAATCCCAATCAAAAGTGTTAGAAACGGACTCCAGAAGCAGGGCGCTGCCTTGAACAGAAATCTGCTTGTCTTTCTCTGTGTGCTCTTTTTTTTCTTCTTCTATGAAACAGAGTTGGGAGTATCAAGAACGTTGGGTTCACTACACAAAGTTGATAGAGATAAGAGACCTGGTTCACAGCTTCCACTACATCTACTCTGTACGCTGGAGTGTCCCAACTTCTCAGACACCCACGGCATTCAGCTCTGCCTTTGCCTTCTTCACCGTCAAGTTCAACAAAAACAAACCTCCGGTAAGCTCTTCCCTTTATGCCCTGTTCCCTTTAGTGAGACTTCAATGAAAATGGAGACTTCTCTTGTCAAGGTCATTGATGACCCCTTTTTTGTAAAACTCAATAGTCATATTTCTGTTCTTATCCTGCTTGACCCACCTACAGCACTTGCTATAGCTGATCACTTCCTCTTTCATGAAACAAACATTCCATTTGGCTTCTAGACCAACATACTCTTCTGATTTTGAGGCATTTGATCACTGAAATGAGTGACTAATGACTAATGCCTCACTGACCATTCCTTTTCAGTCTCTACCAGTTTCTTCTCTCACCAACCTCTTCATATTGGAATGTCCCAAAACTTAGGCCTTGGATTTCTTTTCTATACTCACTGCCTTGATGATCTTATCAGTCACCTGGCTTTAAATGGGTCACCTCTAGTTTATGATTACCAAACTTATGTCTCCACCCCAGACCTCTGCCAGTTAAATGTTGAAGAAACATCTTACTTAATGTAACCAGAATTGAACTTACAATTTTTCCTTCCAAACCTTATCTGCAGTTTTCCTCATCTCAGTTGATGCCAAAATCCTTGGCATCATCTTTGACTATCTCAGACCCTTATCCAATCCATTAGGAAATTGTTGGCCCTACCTTCAAAAACAGGTATTTTTGTTGTTGTTCTTAAACTTCCCCAACATTTAATTATCACAACCGCTACAAAGTCGACTAGGCTGCCAACAATGTACTGTCTCTTTAAGCGGTTTCCTGGGGCCAGTTCAGTTTACAAAGAAATCCCTGAATCCAGGATAGGGATTGGGAAACAGCGCGGTCAGGAGGGGAAGCACCTGTAGGGACAGGTCACAGGCTCCAGGCGGAGCAGTCCCCTGGTCACAGCGCTGACTCAGTACCAATGCCTAGCGCACATGGGGCCCTCCAGGGCCTGCATCCTACTCTGCTAACTCTAAGTTGCTGGAGGCTCCCAGGGGCGGCGCCTCGCGGGCGGGGGCGGCGCCTCGCGGGCGGGGGCGGCGCCTCGCGGGGGCGGCGCCTCGCGGGCGGGGGCGGCGCCTCGCGGGCGGGGGCGGCGCCTCGCGGGCGGGGGCGGCGCCTCGCGGGCGGGGGCGGCGCCTCGCGGGCGGGGGCGGCGCCTCGCGGGCGGGGGCGGCGCCTCGCGGGCGGGGGCGGCGCCTCGCGGGGGCGGCGCCTCGCGGGGGCGGCGCCTCGCGGGGGCGGCGCCTCGCGGGGGCGGTGCCTCGGGGGGGCGGCGCCTCGCGGGGGCGGCGCCTCGCGGGGGCGGCGCCTCGCTGCAGCTTGAGAGTCTAGAGCTCCTCCGCTTCCTCAAAGCCGGAGCTGCCCCAAGGCGACTGTGCGGCCCAGCAAACCGGTGAGTGGGCGCCGGCAGTGGGGTCGTGTGGCCAGGGCACTAGGCACTCTAAGGGGCGGCGCGGGAAGAGTGAGCCAGGGCTTCGGGGCTCTTCCGAGCCAGGGGCTGTACTGGGACTCGGGTCCCTAGGCTCCGCCCTGCATTGTCCCCTGGGGGTGGGGGCGCAGGGCACTGTGTGTGTGGGGAGGGAGCGCTGTTTCCGCTCAAAGCACTGTCCGGGGTGAGGGGGGGGGCGTGTCCTCGCTCAGGGCACTGTCCTGGGGTGGGGCGCTGAGCCTCTGAGCTGCTGAGTTGGAAGGGCAGCCCTGGGCCGCTGAAAGCGGCTGTCCTGTCACAGCCCCATTGCCCCTGTCACTGGGGTGCAGTATGCTTGTGCAGACCTCAGTGTGTCCCCCCACTGGGGACCACTCATTTCAGATCCTCATGCCACATTTTCTGTTGCTTCGACTTTGTTCTTCAGATTCCACATATAAGTGAGGTCATATGGTATTTGTCTTTCTCTGACTGACGTCTCTGAGCATAATACCCTCTAGTCCATTCATGTGGTGGCAAAAGATTAAATTTCATTCCTATTTGTGGCTGAGTGATGTTCCATTGTATATAGAGCAGTATGGGTGTTCAGTGGCTGGGATACAGCCTGTGTCCACGGCTTTTTATCTGCTCACTGCTCCGTTCCACCTGTAAACAACCAGCTCTCTATCTTAACTGATAAGCCGGGCTTTCTCTCCACTATCTCCTGCATCTGGCCTAGGCCAGTGTTCATTCACAGGTTTATAGCCTCTAGTGTTTCAGAAGGAACCGCAAGTGCAAAGGCCCTGAGGCAGGAGTATATTACTGTGTTTCCAGGCTGCTCATGCACCAGGTGCCCAGATCGTGTGCCTCACTGGGCCCAGGTGGGTACTGCCAACAGTGAAGAGGCACTATGCTAATATGCTCTCCACGGCCGTTCTCCAACCAGGGCCTCAGGTAGCTTCCTGGTGACGAGGCCTCAGAAGATAACCAGCTTTTAAATCCATAGTTCTATTGTGTGAGTGTTGACTGCTCAGGCAGAAAGCCACACCCATGACACTGCTGAGGGCGGTGGGCTAAGGCCCCACCACTGGTGTCCTACTTTCCTAGTGAGTGAAAAACAGGTCTTGAGTCCAACAATTTCTTACTACTTCTACCACCCTGTTCCAAGATACCATCATCTCTCAAGATGATTTCAGTAGCCTTCTAATTGGTCTTTCTGACTCCACCCTTGCCCTCATCATGTCTCTACCGTTTCCCCCAAAATAAGACAGCGTCTTATATTAATTTTTGTTCCCAAAGATGCGCTAGATCTTATTTTCAGGGGATGTCTTATTTTTCCATGCACTAGGTCTTATTTTCGGAGGATGTCTTATTTTTGGGGAAACACGGTAGCAGCCAGCCAGAGTGACCCTTATTAAATCAATTGATGTCACTCCTCTGTTTAAACATATTGAAATGTGTTTCTCAAACTTCAAAATGCATGCACATTATTTGGAAAATTCTGATTCAGGAGATCTGAGGTGGGGCTTAGGATTCGAAGTTCCCAGGCAAGGCCTGTGCTGCAGGTCCATAAACTATGCTTTGAGTAGTAAGGTCCTACTAGGCCTTGCCTGCTCTGGTTCCTGTTATTTCTACTTTCCCACTATTCTTTCTCCATCATTTACTCTCTCCAGCCACTGTGATCTTCCTACTCTTTAATAATATACTCCTGCCTCAGGGCCTTTGCACTTGCTGTTCCTTCTGACTGAAACACTCTCCGCTTGGTATGTGCATGGCCTGCTCTCTCACCTCCTATGCTGCACTTTCTACCACCACTCCCCAACCCACTAATGCTTTTGCTATTTCTCCTTAACACTTTATCACCTCCTGATATCTTATAGAATTTATCCTATCGTCTGTTCTCCCTACCAGAATGTAAGTGCCATAAAAGCAGATTTTTATCTTGCTGTAAAACAAGGTCTGGCAGAGTAGGCACTCAATAAACACTTGAATGATTGCTTATAGCCATTAGGTAGACCATGAATCTGATATATGTTGATAGCTGGTGTGAAAAGAGCCAAAATAATATGACTCTAGACCTAGGGTTCTCAGAGGAGCAGGGTTGATACCAAGCAGAATGCCTGGAGCACAACAGACATAAAAATGTTATATCCCCTGTGCTTTTCATACTTTCATGGAAGTTATTTGAAGTTTTGTCTCATTCTAAGGCTTTATATGTGACTACATAGTGAACTAATGATGTCCAATATTCACTCTATCCTAGTACAAACTTATCTAGTCAGATATTTTGAAATCTGAAGTAATCTAAAAAGATAAAATATGCAGAGCTCTTGCTTTTCCTGGTCATGTATCCTACAATTAGCTGTCTTGATGAATGATAAGTTTAGAGATCAGAAAGTAAGGCTGGTGGAGGTAAGCAAGACCATAAACCATGACCACAGAGAGGGGGCTTGGGAGAAGGGCTCTTGCTCAGAATTCTGGGTATAATTTTGTAGGGGAGAACTGGTGGGAACCATTGAAACAATATTACAATTTACGTTTTTATGCTGCTTTAAACATGTTTTTCAAAATTTATCTGTATAATTTTATTCCTATGCCATTACTCAGAAGCAAAGTAGCTACCATCAGTTGAGTAAACTGGAACACGTAAAGACAGTAAATGACTTATTCAAGATCCTATTAATAAGCATGCGCTTCTCCTGTCTTGTTTCCAATGTTGTGGTGATGCTTAAAGTATTTGTTGACCAAAAGATCTTTTGGAGAACAGAGGTTTGATGTGACAAGTAACTACAACCTACAGACTACCAATTTACAAGGGAGATGAAGTCTAGAAATTTAAGAGTATACATATGGAGAAGTATAGAGATGGAAGGAATCATGAGTTGGTATGATTGATCTAGGCTGACAACTGTCTTTTTCTCTCTCAGGATGCACCCATTGAAATCTCTTATAGCTTTGAAGGACAGTCACTAATATACAGGTAATGAACATTTGGAGACTTATTTGAAATGGGTGGTAGATAAATGTCATCATACCCCCGGAATCCAGGAGGACCACAGCAACAGATAATTCATGTAAGGGTAACCTTTTTCATTTGGACGACCTACCCCATTAGGATGGACTGAAAGTAGGACACTGCCAGTATTCTAGAAAACTGTTTTTGTTTGCTTTTTAGTGTCTTGTTTTTCAGTAATTATAAACTTGAGGATTAGTTGGAGTAGGGTGGTGGCAAAGTGGGTTATGTCTATTGTTTTTATGAGAAAACTCACAATTAATGGGATTAACATATATAATAACCTCTTTTATTTGTATAGTAGCTCTTTTAAAGAATATATATAAGCTCAATAATTCTTTTATTGACTGGACCTAAGGAATAGATACAGTCTTAGATCGCCACCCCTCCAAAGGTTTTTTGCTCACTAGAAATGAAACAGAGTAAACAGGGAATCAATCTTTGACTCAGTGGTCTCTTTCATTTGAAAAAGCTTTTGGTGTATTTGTTTTTCTTCCTCTGCAGACCAGGAACGACTCGCTTTCGAGAAAATTGGGTGAAGGAAATGGTTGTGGCCAAACATAATATAATGAAGTCATTTCCCTTCTAATTCAGTTGTGTCTGACTCTTACAGAATGTTTTATGATTGGTTTTCTAATCAGAATGTATTAAAAAACACCATATTGCACATCAAACCACAAAATATTTATTGGATAATAAACCGGTGACACACAATCCAACTGTATTTTTTTTTTTTTTTGCATTCACTCACTTTCCATTTAGCAACTTCCATCATGCTAACAGAATAACCAGTAAGTTGTTTTTTATTTTTTAAAAGATTTTTCCCATCACTATCTGCATAACTCAGAGTCTTACAAGTATAGAAGTTAAATTTAGAGAATTGCTAAAATTCACCTGTCAGACCAACCGAGATCGGTACTTGACTACCTATTCTCCTATTTGAGCTAAGTGTCCAGTCCAGACACAACTCTTTTGTTTTTGTTAATCTAAACCCAAGGATATTTTTCAAGAGAGTGGAGGGAGGGACTGAAGGAGAGAGAGAGAGAGAGAGAGAGAGAGAGAGAGAGAGAGAGAGAGAGAGAGAGAGAGAGAGAGAGGACACGAACCCAGGTACTTGCCCTTGACCAGGAATCGAACACACCTTTTGGTACACAGGCCGATGCTCTAACCCCTGGAGCTACACTTGCCAGGGCCAGATACATCTCTTTATGGGCACAACTGGGGAACAGAAAAATGGTAAGTTCTATGGCTCATACTATAACCAGTCTGAAGGGTTTCTCTACTCACAGACCCCTTCATTTAATGCGAGTGAAGCATCATTGTTAAACACATTCTGAAATTCTAAAACTGGGCATTCACAACACAGCACTGAAATTATGGTAGCAGGGTGGCTTCAGGAATTGGGACAATGAAACATGGCTCAGTCTCCACTCTCACTTATTTGTCCTTCCCATCCTCACACCAGATTATTACTTGTTCCTACCATACCTATGATCTCTTTCCTGGCCACAAAATTTTTAAAACACCAAAGACAAGTTACATTACAAGTGATTACTTGTAGGTACATCAGAATACATATTTACATAGACAAGCACTGGAAGTAAAAAGAACCCTACAGACAAGTGATGTGGTAAGACTGTGAGTAATTTTTCTTCTTTTAACTCTTACATTTGTACAATAAATAAAAAAGGAGGGAAAATCTTAGAGCAACAGGGGAGGAGGTGGGAAACTAGATAAGTCTTCCTTGGAGAAAAATAAAATATTTCAAATAAAAAAGCCTGCCTATTAGACTTATGGATCAGGTGACTAAACACAGTTTGAAGCAGTAATTCTCATGAGATAAAAGAAAATACTTTTAGATTTTTATTCTTCCCTACCCTTCCCCAGAAAATATGCTACCGAAGCTATTCTTGGCACATCTTTCCTGAACAAACCCTGATGAAAGAAATGGTAAAGTTTTGAAATAAATTAACATTTTTTCCATTTACTCAACAAGCATCTGTTGGAGGAGGCAGAATACAATGAAAATGCACAGTATTCATATATCACAAAATCGTTGCATTTGAATTATCTTGCCTACTGAAAATAAGAGGACTCACTCAGTTTTTAGAAGCCAGTAATAAAAAATAATGTTCTCAGAGAACAAAAATTTTAAATGGGGATTTTAAGTTTAGGTTTTATTATACAGGGAAGTAGATAGATTAGGACTCCCAAATTTGGGATCTAGTTTCCTTTTAACTTTTGGAAAAAACAGATTTTTTAGACTAGATAGCAATAATGATAAATATAAATAACTTCAAATTCAGGGGTCATAAATGTTGCTACATATCAAGTGGCTGTTTAGTTCATTAGTTATGGGTTAAAGGTAGACATTTTCCTAAAACATGCTAAATAGTAAAGCTTCTGATCTATGCTCTGAAATCTGCCAAAAAAAAAAAAAAAAAAAAAGGAAAAAAAAGAAAAGAAAAAGAAATCTGACTGCCTTATTTAAAAACTTTGAAAAAAATACTTTAAACTATTCTAAGGGGAGAGGAGAGAGCATTTTATAACAGCAGAGTCAGAATTTCCTTACCATCCAGGTAATTTAAATTTATCCTAGGCACATAATGCAGCTCAAAACAATCAACAAAAACAACATGATCTTACACTGTGCCCTCCCCCTTCACTCTTGTGACCTAATGACTAAAACTGAACAAAATAGGAAAAAAGATTGTAATCTCACAGTCCCAGAATTTTCCATTTCTCCAAAATATACTAGTAAAAGTCAATAGTAGCCATAAAAAAGTGATAAATTGAGGGGGTTCTATATAAAATTAAAGATTAAACTGCATGACTGATGTAAAAAAATAAACTGAAAGGTTTATGTAAAGACAAAAAATTACATAAAGGAGAGGCAAAAATGTTTAATATAATTTTAGCTTCATCCTTATAAAACAACTAAGTAATAATATTTATATTTTTCCGTATACTAAATACTTGACCACAGTTGACTCTCATTCATTTCTAGTATTCAAATTATGATCCAAATACACCTTAGATGAAAATAATGTACTTACATTGGCACAACAATAGACTTCTCAATATTTTATATTTGGAAAACACACTTAACCTGTTAAGAATTTTTAAAACTAATGTTCACATTTTCATTTTATTATGTCTGTGGGTTAGTTTGCTTTTGGATTTGTTTGTGGGTTTTAGGGTGAGGGTAAGGACTAAAATCAAAATACATTGTATTCCAGGCAGATTATATATTGTACAATAGAGTCAATCTTCAAATTCTAGATTTGCTTTTTAAAATTTTGTTAACAAAACTGGCCTCCTGTGTGTTTCTATTAATCCATTTATAACACTTTCAACATAGAGGAATAATAATTTCCCACTAGTTCACTTGGGGCAGGGGTGAGCGTCATGTAGAGCTAAGAGTAGCACTGTACCATGGTGTGAGATAGTGAAACTTATTTTTCATCTCACTGACATCTTTTCTCAATGTCACCTCCCCAAATATAGTAGGATTTCATTCACAATTTGGATTTTTCAATCAGGAAGTTTTAATCCAAAATATTCCAAAGTTTTATCAATAAGCAGCTTTTTATTGAAGGACTGAACGAATTAAATAGAAGGCACAGTAGCACTGTAAAGCTTTCCAGATCATAATAAACTTTTTGTATGTATGTATGGAACCCAGACTTTTTGTTGAAAGTGTCTGCTGAACAACCTGAAAATCCTTATTTGTCATCTTTCCCTTTAGTTTTTCTGTATACCATCTCTCGAAAACTGGCCAGAATCTTGTTTTCTCTCTTTCGTCTCTCTTCTTGGTTAAAAGATGCAAGAGCTCTCTTCTCATCAGCACTGTAGATCTGGTTCTCTTTCCGTAGTCGCACAGCCTCCATTCGGCGATGCCTGGAGATAATTTCATTTTTGGTTTAATTTCTTAGTAATTATTCTCATAGTTATTCTCATCATTCCTCATTAATCCTTTCTTTCTTTTAAAATGTATTTTTATTTCAGAGAGGAAGTGCCCTTACCGGAATTAAACTGTGACCTCCTTGTTCACAGGTCGACACTCAACCACTGAGCCACACTGGCCAGGCACTAATCCTTTCTTAATACAGAGTGGTTTACTTAAAAATATGACAAATAGAAACTGTTTTTGTAATGGGTTATATTTTCTAAAGATCATTCATTTTATCTGCTGTGTCCTTTGATTTATTTCTAATATTCAATTAATGGTCTCTGACGACCTGTCAACATTGTGAATGTCATTAATTTCAAATATGAAGGGCATAAGTCTGGTTCTGCTGTTCCCAGTAAAACAACCAGTGCTGGGGCTGACCAGCAGACCTTGAGCGATGGATGAGCAGATTGCTTTGACACACGTTTCTGTGAAAGAGAGGCTAAGGAATTAGTTTGCTTTGGGAGCAAACAGCCCTGTTCACCTGCCTCCTTTGGCTTTTATTGTAACGACAGCTTGAACTAAATTAACTATTAGATACTATTAGTAGGGTAAACATCCTTGAGAAAGCACATGCCTCCTTTAAGCAAGGACATGTCTAAGTAAACACCTCCTGGGGCTCAGACTTGTTTGGGAAAGTAAACGCAGGGGCTGCCGCCTTTGGCAAGGTCCCCCAGAGGCCTCCGACCTTTCAGAGAATCCTCCTTACAGACCTTTCAACCAAGTCCCATGCTTCCCCACAAACCAGAAACAGGCAAATTATATTAAACTTCCTATGTGATATGTGGGATTTGCTTTTGTGGAATTAATAGGATAGATGAAAAATATAAGCTGTCATCAATTAGGTGGAACTTCTTCAAGGTTCAAATTTATCATAGAGCCAAAAAACCCAAATCTAAATCTACAATTGAATTTAACTCCTTTAGCAGCTAAAAAAAAAAAAAAGGGATTTAGCACAAGATACAAATCAGGAAAGTAGAGAGGCAGGGGCAAAGGGAAACTATTATATCTTCAAAAGGTTGTTTATTTAGAAGGAAACCTTCATGAAAGCCTGCCTCTTTAATATATATATATATATATATATATATATACACACACACACACACACACACACACACACACACACACACACACATCCAATCCTATACAGTCAGTTCAAGATGAAGATTGAATTTTCCAGAAAATTAGAGAAAACTGAGTGAGAAGAGGGGAAATCATTTCAGATTAGTGTGAAAGTGAGGGGAGTGGCAGGATGGAGAGTCAAAGAGATGACAATGAATTTAGGTTGCTCTGGATACAGTGAGTAGTTTAACTGGAACAGGAAGTGTTATATGAATGATGCTGTAATAAACATCTATGTAAATGTCTCCTAGTACATGGGAATGAATTTTCTCTTGGGTATCTAGGTATGGAGTTGCTGGGTCATAAAAATTTATGAATGCTCAACTTTCCAATATGTCAGACTGTTTTCCAAGATGGCTATACCCATCTACACCACCACTAGTAATATTTAAGAGATCCTGTAGATCCACATTCCCTCAAATGCTTGGTATTGTTAGAACTATGAACTTCTGTTTATCAAATGCAAGCAAAATGGTATTTCAGTGTGTTCTTAATTTCCATTTCCAATGATAATGAACATCTTTTTATATATATACTAGAGACCCGGTGCACCAAATTTGTGCACTGGGGTGTGTGTGTCCCTTAGCCCAGCCTGCACCCTCCAATCTGGGATCTCTGTGGGATCGGGCCTAAACCAGCAGTCAGACATCCCTCCCACAGTCTGGGACTGCTGGCTCCCAACTGCTTGCCTGCCTGCCTGCCTGCCTGCCCCTAACCACTTCTGCTTGCCCCCTAACCACTCTTCTGCTGGTATGATCATCCCTAACTGCCCTCCCCTGCAGGCCTGGTCACCCCCAACTGCCCTCCCTTGCCAGCCTGGTTGCCCCCATCTGCCCTCCCCTACAGGCATGGTCTCCTGCCCCCACAACTGCCCTCCGTTGCAGGCCTGTTCGCACCCAACTGCCCTCCCCTTCTGGCCATCTTGTAATGACATGGGTGTGGCCATCTTATGTCACATGGGGTGGCCATCTTGTGTGAGGGCATGACAGTCAATTTGCATATTACCTCTTTATTATATAAGATATATATATATAGGGCATAATGTCACAGGAAGGTCATGGTATCCTGCCACCTGTAAGCCTAAGTTGCTATTGGATATGCTATACACAGAGGAGCCATTATTCAGGCACTCTGCTCTCTCCACATGCATCATCTTTAAAATATGTATGTATTTTTAATTTATTTCAGAGAGGAAGGGAGAGGGAGAGAGAAATAGAAACATCAACCCCAGCATGTGCCCTGACTGGGAATCAAACCCATGACCTCCTGATTCATAGGTGGACACTCAACCACTAAGCCACACAGGTCAGGCATGATCATCTTTTTATGTGTTTATAAGTCATACATATTTCTTTTGACAACTGCCTCTTTGTTTCATTTTCCCACCTTCTTTTTTGTTTTAAATATATTTTTCTTGCTTCTTTCTTATCTCAGTTTGGAACTTGTCTTTTTGCTTATTTTAAGATGCCTTTTGATGAACAAAAGTTCGTACCTTTTTTTTTTTTAAAGATATATTTTTATTGATTTTTTTACAGAGAGGAAGAGAGAGGGACAGAGAGCTAGAAACATCAATGAGAGAGAATCATCTATCAGCTGCCTCTTGTACCACTCCTACTGGGGATGTGCCCACAACCAAGGTACATGCCCTTGACCGGAATTGAACCCGAGACCTTTCAGTCCGCAGGCTGACGCTCTATCCTGAGCCAAACCGGTTTCGGCAAAAGTTTGTACTTTTTAAAAAATATGTATTTTATTGATTTTTAAAAAATATATTTTATTGATATTTTACAGAGAGGAAGGGAGAGAGAGAGCTAGAAACGTCAATGAGAGAGAAACATCAACCAGCTGCCTCTTGCACACCCCCTCCCGGGGATATGCCTGCAACCAATATACATGCCCTTGACTGGAATCGAACCTGGGACCCTTTAGTTCGCAGGCCAACAGTGCTCTAGCCACTGAGCCAAACCGGTTTCAGCAAAAGTTCATACTTTTAACCTAGGCAAATTTATCAATATTTTATCTTATGGTCATTCCATATTTTTGCCCTTTAAAAAATATTTCCTCATCCAAGTTCTAATAGATATCTGCTCATATTTTATACTGAGTATTAGAGTTGTTTTTGACATTTAAATTCTTAACCTAGCTGTACTGATATTTAAATATGGTAATATAGGGTCCTACTTTCATCTTTTCCCATACACATAACCATTTTTTTTCCTGAACTATTTACTGAATAGTTCCTTCTATCCCCAGTTATTCTATAGGCTATCTGTTTCATATATCTAAGTTCCATACATGTATGACTCTGTTCCTGGACTCTATATTTTATTCCATTGAACAATTCATTTGTTCCTCAACATTTTTGAAAGTGCTGTAAGCTTCATAATAAGTTCTCATATGTGGTAGGGCAAGTCTCATCTGCCTCTTCTTCAGAAGTGAGGAAGCTATTCTTGGCCCTCTAGTCTAACAAATACATTTAAAAACCAACTTACTAAGTTTCACGAAAAACTTTGTTGTGATTTTGATGAGAACTTTACTGAATCTACAGATCAATTTGGGAGGAACTGATAATTTTACAATATTGCCTTTTTGTCCATGAACATGGTATCTCTCCATTTATTTCTATTTTTTAATGTATCTTAATAATGTTTTATAGTTTTCCCTATAGAGGCCCTAGACATTTTTTATTAATATTTATTCCTGCTGGGCTGGTGTGGCTCAGTGGTTGAATGTCGACCCATGAACCAAGAGGTCCTTGGTTCCATTACCAGTCAGGGCACATGCCCATGTTGTGGGCTTGAACCCCAGTAGGGGTGTGCAGGGCAACTGATCGATGTCTCTTTCTCATTGAAGCTTTTTTTTTAATCTCTCTATCCCTCTTCCTCTAAAATCAACAAAACATATTTAAAAAATGTTTATTCCTAAATCTTTCATATTCTCTGATACTATTACCAATGTTCTTTACTTTTTATTTAATTACATTTTCTAGTTGTTGATAGTGCATAGAAATAAAATTGATTTCCGTGTATTAATCTTATATATAACTATTTGTTAAACCCTCTTATTATTTTATCTCTAGGTTTTTTAGGATGTTCTATTAATATATAAACAATTCATATCATTCACAAAAAATGACTGTGTTATATCTCATTTCCAGTCCTTATGCCTCTAATTTCTTTTTATCTTATTGTGCTGATCCTTAGATATAATATTCTTAAATGTTGGGCCTCAGAATTATAAGATTCTGGAAGTACTTCACCAGTACTGCAAATATTTGCCTCCAATTGTATTTTAAAATATGTATCTACCTTTATTTTTATTTATTTTTAATTTTTTTAATTTTTAAAAAATATATATTTTATTGGTTTTTGTACAGAGAGGAAGGGAGAGAGATAGAGTTAGAAACATCAATGAGAGAGAGTCATCGATCAGCTGCCTCTTGCACACCCCCTACTGGGGATATGCCCGCAACCAAGGTACATGCCCTTGACCGGAATCGAACCTGGGGCCCTTCAGTCCCCAAGCCGATGCTCTATCCATTGAGCCAAACCGGTCCCGGCATAAAATATGTATCTACCTTTAGAAGTTTATAAAGTTTTTTAAAAAATCCAAACTTCAGTTTGATCTTGGTAGAGATGCCCTTTTCACTCTCCTTATTCTTCCTGGTACTTTGCTTTCTCTTCTCTAATTTTATATTCATTCCTCATGCTGAACCTGATGTCTGTCATAATCCTTTTCTGCTCTTCATTCTCAGAGTCCACAGAGAACTATAGAGTCCATGTTTTCTGAGTTCACAGAGGCAAACTTAGAAACTAGGAAATACTGTTTTATGAGAATACTTTCCTCATGAGGCAGTAATAAATAGCTGAATTTAACTATATCCTCCAGAGTACAAACTATCTGTACCAAAATATGAAATAAGAAAGGATACTGGAAAGACTAATTCTTTGATACAGCTGAGTTTGAGGCTCAGTTTCATACATACTTAGAATTTTAGACAACTACATTTATATTAATAAAACCAGTATTAAAATAATATTTATACTTTACTTTTCATTAGGAATGATCACTTAATGAAAATCAATCACCAAATATAAACCTAGTAGTGAGAAAGAAGGGAATGATTTAATAATAAAAATTGACTTCAATGCCAAGAACGTACCTGCTACCACTCATTACATAACCCGAGCATTCAAATGATGCAATTTCTTCACTTGTCAAACCAATTTCACCTCTTCGTGGGATACGCTTTCCAGCTTTTACATATTCAGCCATAGCTGCACCTTCCCCAGGTAACAGAGCATGGCCATAGCTACAAAGCAATTCAGAATTCAGAAAAGGTTCATTATAAAAACCTCATCATCTAAAGATAGCACAAAAAATTCATTTTCTCTTAGCAAACATTAGAAATAACAATTGCTGAGTGGAAGCATGCTATGAAGCCCAATATTAATTAATTTAATTACTAACCTATGTAACTAACCCAGAAGTGCGGAGATATTTTGGAAGAATAAAAGAACTGATGTTAGTATATATAGATTCATATTTTACAATTATGGATAAATTTATCCCTACAGGTACTGCTTTTACTGCTTCTTTCAGCGAATTTCTGTTCCTTAAAAAAAGTAAAGAAATAATATAGCTCAAATTTAATATACTGTTTAGCCTTATGACCAATAACAACACAGTAACAATTTTCTATTACCTTTCATTCAAGGGGACTTTAAAACCTATCATCCCTTCATTCAAGTCATTGAACAATTCTTAAATATAAGCAAAAATAATCTTTGATCTTATAGGATTTACATATTAATAAGAATATAATTGAAATACAATGTAGAATATATAATACATATCACAAAAGAAATAGAAAATTCTATGAGGATTAAAGGATGAAAGAGGGGTAGAAACCACACCTACTTGTGGAGGTACTGGGAATTAGCACATGCCCCTCCTATATAAATGGGCTTTGAAGGGTGTTTTAACAGGAAGAAACTTAAGGTATTGAAGAAAACAGAGCTGAGGAAAATAGGGAAAGCCTGTTGGAGGAAGAAATAAGGGAAACAAGGCACTATGTGGGAAAGTGCACAGTAAACTTTAGTTCAGCTCAGTTGGAACCTGGGGTATAAATGAGGGAGCAGAGGGAGATAAGCTTGGAAAGGTAAGTTAGGGGCCTACTTTTGGGAAGCTACTTTGTGAATACACTGTCAACTTACTTCAGAGGTTTATCATCTTGAGAGGCAAGTGTTTTTGGAGCCTCTGGGCCAATTAAATCTGAGGGTTCTTCAGGCTCTGTATGAAAGATGTTCAGAAAAATAATTCACATTTTGACAAATTGGTTAATTTAATGTTTTATCTGTTCTCAAAGTCTATCAGAAGAACCTACTTGATCGATCCTTCCAGGGATTCTCCAGAAACTCTTCTTGGGAATCTTTAGAGCTTGAGTCACTGGAATCTTTTCTGCTCTTCTTAGACTTCTTTTTCTTATATTTCTTCCTGTAATTATTATAATTTGATACAAACTGACTTAATATTCCCATGTTAAAGGGTACATTATTTTTTCAAGGCAATGAAAAGACTGATTAAAATGATATGAAATAAAGTTCTCATGATATAGAAAGATAACAGAAATAAAGTAGTTTAAAAAACAGCTCTTACCAATTTGAGCATCAATAATTTCAAGTGTAATAAATTAAAAAACTTTAAACATGTATCAATACTTGGGTTCATAGTGATGTTAAAATTACCCAGCTCATTATTTAAAAAACCCATAAAACAAAAAAGGTAAGCAACTGGGGAGTAAGAGATTAACCAGAGGACTTGTATGCATGCATGTAAGCATAACCAATGGACAAAGACAGGGGTGTGAGGGCCTGTGCTGGGGGCGGGAGTGGACTGGGATCCCAGAGGTCAATGGCAGAAAAAGGAGACATGTAATACTTTCAACAATAAAGAATTTTAAAAAAGTAAGCAATTATCATGTCCTTCCTATATAAACTATACTTCAGGGTTGCCAAATAATTGATGAGGGTAGGTTTCTCTTATAAATACAGAGGACAGAACATGTTAAAAGGACATAATAATACAATCAGCAAAATCCATACTGCAGGAAATTCTACAGGATAAATTTGATTTAGTTTCTTCAACAATTTGCAATAACAAAAATAGGAGAGAATTGAGATGTAAGAGACATATAAATTAATGGTAATTTATGATATTACTTGTAGCCTGATTTGAATATACTGTACAAAAAACTACCAAGAATTCAGAGATTGTTAAATATTTTTAGTACTATATTAATAGTTATGATGTTTTTTTTTTTTTTTTTTTTTTTTTTTTTTTTTTTAAAGAATGCCTATCTTTTAGGGAAACATGGTGGTTTATGGATGGAATGATATCTGGATTGGTATCAAAATAATGGGAGAGGGGCAGTAGACACTGCCCATGAGTTGGTAATTGTGCAAGCTGGGAAATAGTTACATGGGGGATCATTTTACTATTTTAAATAATTTTATATATATTTGAACTTTTCCATAATAAAAATTAAAGAAAAAACTGACGATCTGCGTTTCTTCTTCTTTTCCTTTTTCTTGGCTTTCTTTGATCTCCTTTTTGTGTCTTCATCTGCAAATGAGAGCATATTAGAATTTTTTTAAAAATTTAACTCATACCCCCAATATTTTTGAGTAGATAAATATCCCATTGCTGTTCTATTTGTTGTTACACAGAATTCATTCATTCATTTATTGCTACTAGTCAAGAAGTGTGCTAGGCAGTGGGGACACAGAAGTTAAAATCACACTAAGTACTTGGTGATATGGGGTATTATTTATTTTTATTTTAAAAAAATATATTTTATTGATTTTTCACAGAGAGGAAGAGAGAGGGGTAGAGAGCTAGAAACATTGATGAGAGAGAAACATCGATCAGCTGCCTCCTGCACCCCTCCCCCCCACCAGGGATGTGTCCGCAATCAATGTACATGCCCTTGACCGGAATTGAACTTGGGACCTTTCAGTCCGCAGACTGACGCTCTATCCACTGAGCCAAATCGGTTTCGGCTAGGGTATTATTTTTGTTACATGAAATAACATATTGTTATTAAATAGGAAAATGTCACAAAAAAGATGTATACAGAAATCCTTGGGGTAGCAGTGTGAAATATTTTATTAATTTTTTACAGAGAGGAAGGGAGAGGGAGAGAGTTAGAAACATCAATGAGAGAGAAACATCGATCAGCTGCCTCCTGCACGCCCTCTACTGGGGATGTGCCTGCAACCAAGGTACATGCTCTTGACTAGGATCGAACCTGGGACCTTTCAGTCCGAAGGCTGATGCTCTATTCTCTGAGCCAAACTGGTTAGGAGGGCAGTGTAATATTTGTAATTTACGTAGACTATCTCAGAAAAAAAATTATATATATATATATTTTGAAGCAAATATTTCAAAATACTAACAATTGTTAAAATCTAGGTGATGTGTATATGGTTTTATGATATTCTCTTTACTTTTCTGAATGTCTGGGTATCTTCATGATGGAAAGAGAAAACCCTATGTATGTTTGGGGGATGCTTTCCAGGAGCTCAGTCTAATGGAGGAGACAGAGGTGCAGAGATAAATAGAATCTGGAGTGACTGGGGCACTCTGGGCCTACAGGAGTCTCAAAATCAGGCTGATATGGAGAGGGTAGTTGAGGAATTGTTGGCCAGGCAAAGGTGAGTCTAAAGCTACTTCTTTTTAAAATCAGTTTCTAAAAAACAAAACAAACAAAAAAAACACAATAAAATCAGTTTTATTACAAAAGTAATGCATGCTAATTGTTGAAATGAGTAAGCCAAGCCACATGTAGGGAGAGATTGGCATTGCAGGCAGGCAGACTATCTGTATCAAGTAGTAAAATCAAGAGAAAGAACATGGGATATTGAGACAGATAGCAGTTCTCAAGCTACAGAGGATGCTCTGAGAGAAAATGAGAGCGTATATGTGATTAGAGTGGATTAATCAAGGTCTGAACTTTAGCCTGAAGGCCATGAAGAGCTACTAAATGAAGCATTTTAAGTAGGGGACTGAGATGTTCAGATTTGTGCTTTAACACATCAAGCGCCAAGCCTGTTTGGTCTTCCTTTCTGTTTCAGACACCAGTGACTGACATGGCGCTTAACTTGTTAAGAAAGTCCAGTCTTCCAGCAATGAGGAAGAAAAGTGACAATGGAGGCTAGGCAACCCAGGTGACATGAGAGGAAGGGGCGTCTTCCTTCCTTAAATCAGCTGCCAGCCTGAAGGGGAACCTTTTGAAAATTGCACAAAGGTTCCCACTGAGTGTGAGAATTACACAAAAGAGCTGCTCAGCCCTGTATGGCTTGGTTTGGCACCACACGCCCTGCAGCCCAATCCCAACTTGGTTCAGTGCCACAGGCCTTGTACAACTACACACAACAATCTACATACACTACTTAGGTTTGAATCCAAAATGTGTAACCTTGAGGGTGGCACTTTAAGCTGCTCTGTGCCTCCCTTTCCATCTCTAAGATGTACCATACAGTTACTGTGTGGATTAACTAGCAAGGACTTAGCAGGGTACCGGGCACAAAGTAAGTGTTAAAAGACTCTTGACTATTATTATTGTTTTTAAGAAACTACTTCTGAAATAAACTTTAAGAAGTAAAAGTAGTTTTGAAGTGAGACTTGCAGAATGATGTTGACTTTCTTACCACTGGAGTCTGTTTCAGAATCAGAGTCACTGTCGCTATCGTCAGAATACTTTCTGTGCTTTCTTTTAGATGATTTTTTCTTTCTCCGTTTCTTGGACCTTTCTTTTGAATGGCTAGACTTCTTCTTTTTCTTCTTTTCTTCTACATAAAATACAAATAAAAACTAACATCTAAAGAAGTATTACTGAATACCAATTTTACTGTATTTGAAATACTGAAAAGGAATGTGTTAGACAATTTGAACAAAAGTAATACCTAATGTTCAACTATTTATAAACTTATTTTTAAACTTCTAAATAAAAAGGTCTGCATTTAAAATAATACCTTCTGAAGTAGAAGCTGAAGTGGTGCTTTTCTTTGGCTCTTCATCCTCTACTGGTGTATGTTCATCAGAGCTGAATTTAAAGAAGATGGTTATCAGAATCATAAAACTGGTGGGTCAGTCAAGATGATGGAATAGGTAAACATGGTACTTGGAACTTCCTAGAACAACATCAAAATTACAACTTAACTGCAGAACAACCATCATTCAGAACCACCTGAAATCTAGCTGAACTGAGTCCTACAACTAAAAACATACAGAAGAAACTACATCAAGACTGGTAGGAGAGGCAGAGACACTGAATGGGCTAGTCCCACACCCACGTGTGGCAGTTAAAAATTGGGAGGGATACCTTGGATGCAGAACTCATCCCTGAGATGCGAGGGGTCCAGTCCCACACCAAGCCCCCCAACCCAGAGTTCCAGTGATAGGAAGAAAAGGTACCCTAACTCCTGACTCTAAAAACAAGCAGGGGTTGTGCCTGAGTAAGAGAAAGGGTGCTGGTGACCCAGGGATTCCTATTAAAGGGCCTACAAATGGACTAACTACTCAGACTCACTCTGAGTTTTAGCACTGGGGCAGCAGCTCAAAAGGCATCAGGGGAATATGGGGAGAAACTAAATTCTCAGGGCAAGGGCTGGAATTTCCTACAACCACAGCTTTCTCCCAGACAGAGTGGTGGCAGAGGCCACTGTTCCCTTGCTGAACTCTTGCCACACAAAGCCAGCAAGTGGGTGCCATATCTGAGTCGTCATCAAGCTGACTAAGAATGTTTGCTCTGCTCTAGTGATTTCCTGAGACCCCATCCCTCCCAATTTTCAGGCCCACCAAAGCCCTTGCCAGTGGCTTTGATCTCTTGCCTCATGCTTTGGACTTTCCTAAAATCTCTCAAACAAGCAGCATCTGGCTTCTTTGTATCCTGAGTCTCTTACTAAGTGGTCCCAGGCCCAGCACTAGCAAAACCAGACTTGGTTTGCAGTTTGGTCTCTCTCAGGTACCTCCAAGACCAGTACAAGTAGCAGCCATCTGCAGTAGCTCATGTCAGTGGACCCAGGCAGGGCATAGGCTGTGGCTGACCATGCACCTTCCAGGAGGCTCCGGAGACAGCATACCTGGTGGTCAGCTTCATACCATGCTGGATTATATCCCAACTACCTTCATTAGTGATACACTCAAAGAGTGGGTTCAGCAGACACCAAAGCCCCATTGAAGTTAGTCCTGTTTTGTGGGGTTGGCCATTACACAGCAGCTCCTCTGCTGTACTTATAGCTAGTCCTTGCAGCCGAATGCCGTGCCAACAGCAATCAAAGCTCAATTACAACAGAATAGTGCACACAGCCCACACAGGAGGTGCACCTGGAATGCCCAGCTCAGGTGACCAGGAACACTGTGTCACTGTGCCCTATGAGATACCTACTACATAAGGCCACTCTACCAAGACTGGTAGACATAGCAGCTCTACATGATACATAGAAACAAACACAGGGAGGCTGCCAAAATGAGGAGACAAAGAAACAGGTCCCAAATGAAGAACAGAACAAAACTACAGAAAAAGAACTAAGGAAAATGGAGACAAGCAATCTACAAGATACAAAATTCAAAACACTGGTTATAAGGATGTTCGAGGAACTTAGAATTTCAACAGCATAAAAAAAAAGACATGGAACCCTGGCTGGTTGATCAGTGGTTAGAGTGTCATCCTATAGACTAAATGGTTGCAGGTTTGATTCCCAGTCAAGGGCACCTATCTCATATATAGGCTCGATCCCCACTCCGATCAGGGCATATGTAGGAGGCAACCAATCGGTGTGTCTCTCTCACATGGATGCCTATGTCTCTGTCTCTCTCTATCTCTCTTTTCCCTCCTCTCTCTCTCAAAAACCAATGGAGAGAATATCCTCAGATGAGGATTAATAATAAAAAAGGACATGGAGCCTGGCCAGTATGGCTCAGTTGGCTACAGCACCGACCCATACATGAGTTCTATTCCTGGTCAGGGCACATGTGGGAAGCAGCTGATTGCTGTTCCTTTCACACTGATGTTTCCCCCTCTCTCCCTCTCCCTTCCTCTCTCTCTTAAAATCAAGAAAAAAATATCCTTAGGTAATGATTAAAAAAAATAAAATAAGGACATGGAAACTATAAAAAAAGGACCAGTCAGAAATGGATACAATAACTGAAATGAAGAATAAATTACAGGGAATCAACAGTAAAGTAGATGAAGCAAAGAATCAAATCAGTGATTTGGAAAATAAGGAAGCAGAAAACATCCAATCAGAACAGCAAGAAGAATTTTAAAAAGTGAGGATAGTGTATGGAGCCTTTGGGACAACTTCAAGCATACCAACATTCATACCACGGGAGTGCTGCAAAGAGAAGAGAGACAGCAAGGAACTGAAAACCTATTTGAAAAAATGATAGAAAATTTCCCTAACCTTGTAAAGAAAGTAGACATAGAAGTCCAGGAAGCACAGAAAGTCACAAAAGTAAATTAAACCAAAGAGGCCTATACTAAGATACATCATAATTAAAATGTCAAAAGTTAAAGACAAAGAAAGAATATTAAAAACATTTACTTATTTTTTATATATTTTTTATTGTTGAAGCATTACACATAGTAGTACATATGTCTCCCTTTCCCCCCCCTTGACCTTCCCCTAGCCTCTCCTGTCCCCCCTGCATATAAAATGTTTTACTTATTGATTTGAGAAAGAGAAAGAGAGAGGGGGGGGGAGAGAGAGACAGAGATTAATTTTTTGTTCCACTTATTTATGCATTCATTAGTTGATTCTTGTATGTGCCCTGAATGGGATCAAACACGCAACCTGGGCATATTAGGACACTGTTCTAATCAACTGAGATACCTGGCCAGTGCCAAAGAGAGAATCTAAAAAGCAGCAAGAGAAAAGCAGTTAGTAAACTATAAGGGAGCTCCCATAATACTATCAGCTGATTTCTCAACAGAAACTTTGCAAGCCAGAGGGATTGGCACAAAATATTCAAAGTGATGAAAAGCAAGGATTTACAACCAAGATTACTCTATACAGCAAAGCTACTATTTAAAATCAAAGAACATATAAAGAAGTTCCCAGACAAGAAAAAACTAAAGGTGTTCATCATCAACAAATCAGTATTACAATAAACATTAAGGTATCTTCAAGAAGAAGAAGAAGAGACAAAAAATATGAATAACAAAATGGCAATAAATACATTATTTATCAATAATTACTTTATACACAAGTAGATTAAATGCTCCAATCAAAAGATATATGGTGAGCCTTGACTGGGTTGCTCAGTTTGTTGGAGTGTAATCCTGTACACCAAAAAGTTGCAAGTTCAATCCCTTGTCTGGGTACGTATGGGAAACAACTAATCAATAGTTCTCTCTCACATTGATGTTTCTCTACCCCCCTTTCTAAAATAAATAAAAACATATCCTCAGGTGAGTATTTAAAAAAAGATATACAGTGACTAAATGGATAATAAAATAAGACTTTTACATATACTGTCTACAAGAGACTCACTTCAGATTGAAAGACATACACAGACTGAAAGTAAAGGGATGGAAAATATATTTTCTGAAAATGAAAACAAAACAAAAAGCTGAGATAGCAATACTTAATATCAGACAAAATAGACTTTAAAGAAAATGCTATAATAAGAGACAAAGAAGAATCTAGTAACTCCACTTCTGGGTATTTCTCCAAAGAAACCCAAAACACTAAATTGAAAAGACATAGAGCCCTTGTGGGATAGCTCAGTTGGTTAAAGCATCTTCCCAATATGCCCTTGGTGGGTTCAATCCTCAATTAGGGCACATACAAGAACTAACTAATGAATGCATAAATAAGTGAAACAAGTCAATGTCTCTATAAATCAAAACTAAAAACTAAAAATAAAAGATATATAATCCATGTTTATTGCAGCATTACTTATAATAGCCAAAATATGGAAGCAACCTAAGTGTCCATCAATAGATGACATGGCCTATCCTGTGTGGATCAGTGGTTGAGTGCTGACCTATGAAATAGGAGGTCACAGTTCAAGTCCCAGTCAGGGCACATGCCTGAGTTGTGGGCTCAATCCCTGGTAGGAGGCAGCTGATCAATGATTTTCTCTCATCATTGATGTTTCTGTCTCTCTCCCTCTCTCTGAAATCAATAAAAAATATATATATTTAAAAGGATGAAATGGATGGACCTAGAGGGTATTATGCTAAATTAAATACCGGTAAGTCAGACAGAATTTAAAAAGCCAGATGATTTCACTTATATGTGGAATCTAAAAAACAATCAAAACAGAACAGAAGCACAGATACAGAGAACATTTTGATAGTTACCAGATGGGAGAAGGGTTGTGGGGATGAGTGAAGAAGGTGAAGGGATTTAGAAGTACAAATTGGTGGTTACAGAATAGTCAAAGGATGTAAAGGATAGCATAGGAAATATAGTTAATAATTATATATGGTATCAGGTGGGTACTATATTTATCAGGGTAATCACTTCATAAGTTATATAAATGTCTAATCATGAGGTTGTACACCTGAAACTAATAATAATATTGTATGTCAACTGTAATTTAAAAAGAAAAAAAGAGAGAGAGAAACCAAGATGGCAGCATAGGTAAACACCTGAAATTGCTGCCTCAAACAACCACTTCAAAAGTACAACTAAAAGGCAAAATGGACATCATTCAAAACCACAGGAAGGCTGGCTGAGTGGAAATTCTACAACTAAAAGGAAAGAGAAAATCACACTGAGATTCAAAAGTGTTGCTGGAGTAAACGAGCGGAAAGTTCTGACAACTGAGTATGTGGTTGTCTTTTTTTCTGACTGCTATGAACTCTAGTTCCAGGTGAGACTCTGGGGACCCAGACTCATATAGGGAAAACTGGACTGGCTGGCATTGGGCGGAACTAGAGGGCGACTATCTCTCAGAGGTGCTTGCACTGATTACTGCAGGAAAATGAGACCCGGGCTTTTTAGGGCAGGGCTGAGGATCAGCCATAACTGTTTGTTCTGCCCTGTTGATCCCCTGAGATCCTGCCCCACCTAAGCTGTGTGCAGAGGCCTT